AGGTGGAGATTTGTGAGATGTTGGATCGAACTCTAGTATGGTCGAAGTCTGTTCACAAGTAATGCGTGTTGTAGTCGAAGTTTGTTTTAACATGCATTAGCCAATATTGCTAGGGTTGTTAGCATGTTGAATTGGGTCTTGCTTGTAAACCGAATTGTTGTAATGGATAATGGTTAAAAAGCCCATTAGGTTAGTGTGCTATTTTATTATAAATAGGATACTAGTTTTTCGATCTTGACAGAAGGAAAAATAGGAAGATAAAATCCTAATTCCAAGAGAGGGAGGTTATTTTGTTATTTTTGTATACTTGTAATCTTGTTTTAAGAGAAATGAAAGAATATCAGTTTAATAACCAATCCTTGTTGTTTTCTTCTTTAATCCTAACCCTTGTGTGTTTCTTAATCATTAAGAAATCATTTATACTTTGTTATAAGTTATCCGATTCACAACAAGATTCTTTTGTTTAACATGTTTTAAAACACTCGAAAGTCTACACTTGATGGGGCTGATCATCTAGAAAATAACCATTAAAAAGGTATAAGATTTCGGGCTGAACAAGCTGTTTGAGTTAATATGGATCTGTATTTGATTTGATTGGGTTGTTCTTGTTTCGCTGATTTGTGTTATAGTGATATGGTTTCATCATACTATGGAGCAAGAAAATAAATATGGGTGATTCAATGACTAGTTTGGATCAGGGTAAGTTAAAAAATATTCTTATTGAATTTTGACTTTTAAAGCAATTTTTTTTTTCAAATGATTTTTTTCACATTCTATTTATAAAAAAACTTCTATCTAAATTAAATAAATTCATATAACATAATTTTGATAATCCACCGTATATTGTCGTACAATTAAATAAATTCATACAATACATTAAAAATAATGATAGGTTGTCATCAAATACAAATAAATTAATACCAAATATTTAAAATGGCGATAATTCGCCATCAATTATAAATACTCATTTTAAAAGTATGTTAATTATAAAATTAAAAATACAATTAAAATAAAATTAGAAATGACAATTGGATCCATTATAGAAAAATTTATCCAATCCATCATTTAAAAAATCCATCCAATGCATCTACCATAAAAAATAAATTAATGAATTAGATTAAATCCTTCCATTTATATGCATGTATTGATTCAATTGATTAAATCAATCTAACATATTTTAAGGATCTAATAGATTATTTTTATTTCCGGTAAATTTTTTTATTTTAAAATAACTAAAAATGAATTTTTTTCCTAAGGACATACACTAAACACTCTAGACGAGTGAGAGGCAACCACCCACTAATCATTTTCCACGTATCTAACGCTACAACTCACAACACTCGACAATTGCATAAAAGAAATGAAATAAAAACAATGTTACCGAACAGAGTGGTTTCGTTGACCCTTGACTTTTGTGTGCAAGCTCCGTCTCCAAGCTCTCCTCTTTTGATCCTTAATGATGACGTTTCGAATCAAAACCAACGTGATGCCAAACCGTCGTAGTTCGACTTATAAGAGAAATCAAACTTTAAGAGGTAACATATTGATATCCGTGTCAAAGACAAGATAGAGAAATGATATTGCAAATCATTCTCCAATTAAATCGTGTCACACGAATCAGCATATAATAAAGTCAAAATAAAATCAGAAGAAGAAGAAAAATGAGGAGAGAAAAAAATGGTCTCAGATCCTACATTATCCATCAACAAGTCAATTAATAACGGTTTACGGATCACCATTGTTTAACGGATCACCATTTTAAACCATATAAGTCTTATGTTCTTGTAACCTCTGTTTCCACAAATCGAAATCTCTGTTGTGGGTAACGACGTGTATTTTATCACACTATGAATCAAACGAATAGTTAGTACATATTTTAAGTTATGCACAAGTTAGATAGCATATTTACAACAATAATGCATACCTTGCTATCTTGGATAACACATTCAAAATGTTGTTGTCCATTATGCTCGGTTACAGTCCATAGATCAACAATACGGATGGCGAGCTTCCATACATTGTTTCCTAGCTTCAAATCAGCAATCATAATAGGTGCTCTAGACATGGTGATCTGAAAAGTAACAACAACCATATAAGTTCATAACATACGTGTTTTTAGAGATGAATAACAATAACCAAATGTACATAAATTGTTAGCAAAGCTTGTAGCTTTCTTATCGAAAAAAAGATGAACACAAACCAACATTCATCTCAAACTTCCTCAGAACACACATACTTTACACGCGATAAAACTGATTCAAAACAACATCATGATAATCAAACCCACAGTCATTGCAAACCCACAATCACGAGCATTATAGAAATCAGGTTGAAAAGAATGAAGAAGGAATAAAAACCTCGACTCTTGGTTTGTGAAACAAAAAACCAGAAAAACAAAAAATAAAACAATGGTTGAACTATGATGTACAAGGAGAGAGACGATGCAGGTAGGAGCATGTACCTTCTTATTTTTCGCTCGCAAGCAATACAGACGAGGATGGGAGATGATGATGTTCTGCTCTGAAGTATGATGTGTGGAGAAAAGTGAAGTATGATGTGTGTAGAAATGAGAGAAAATATCTGAAGAAGAAAGAGATATAGACAAGGCTGAAAAGTGTGAAAAGAGAGGGAAAAATGAAATAAGTTTTGGGACCAATTGTTAACTGACACATGGATGAAAACAATGTTCTTAGCAAGTCTAAATATATGAATATGTTGATTACTAAAATGTCCCTGTTGAATGCAAAATTTAATATTGGTTATATGATATTTTTGTAAAAACAAGTAGAAGACCCGTGCGTTCGCACGGGTATGAGAAAAAGTATAATTTTATCGAATTTAAATTTCACAAGAAAAAGTATATTCAAATGCATATTAAGAGTAATATTTATGCAGGTTTTTTATTTATTTGAATCTAACTAATGGTATCTCGTGTAACTTTATGAAGTATTTCAATCACATTTTAAACATTATAATGAAAATGTTGAAATACATAATCAAGATTTTAGACTTTTAATTTTTTAGAGTAATAATATTTATACATGATTCATTTTTTTTAGAGCAATAGAGTAACATACAATTTTATCGTAAGCTTGTATGGAATAAAAAGATCAAATACATCAAATTTTGAGTTATTTGACAATATTAGCAAATTCTATATGATGAATCTCTTATTTTTTGACTACAGACATAAAACCGTTACATTACATTAGCTAAATATTGCCTAGAAAATCCTTATCAGTGATTAGTGTAAGATTAGTGCGTCCACATAAATATGATATAGAGTATTAGATATATTGATAGTTGAATTATATTTAGATACACATTAAAAACAATATTTATGCATGTTTTTTTGTTTGGATCTAATTGATTGTATCTTGTGTCATGGTTTTTCTGGTTTCAATAACATTTTAAACATTACAATGAATAGATTCAAATACATATAAATCAAGATTTTAGACTTTTCATTTTTGAGAACAACATTTATGCATATTTTCTTATCTGAATCTAATTGGTTGTGTACTGTGTCATTTCACAAACCTTTTTATATAATAACGGAAAAAAAGAATCTAACTAATTGTCTTTTGTGTCACATCATTGAAAGCAATATATGTGCTTGTTTTCTTGGCGGAATCTAACGAATTGTGTCCCATGCGACTTTATGAACTATTTCAATCACATTTAAAAAATAAAAAATTATTTAAATATTATAAAAAAATAATTGGAAATAAATTTAAATTTTATTTATTAAGTTTTACATCATTTTAAATCTCTTATAAGAAATTAGTTTGCAATAAATAAACTCTAGTCATACATCTAATGCTCTTTTAATCCATGTTATCAAACATCCAAAATTAAAGAATGAAAAAAACATTTTAAAACACTTAAGTAGAGAAGAAAAAAATAAATATGATCACTTATTAATAAGCTTTTACATAATACAAAAGAAAAAACAGATGAAGAATAAATATGTACCTAAACTCTCGATACTTCAAACAATAGGAACTTTAAATATTTTTTTATACATTCCACACTTTATTATTCACATGATACATTCCACGAGAATTAATGCATTGTTCAGAGACACATTATTTGCAATGCAGAACATCTAATCATTATGCTCTCGACATTTCAAAAAATTATAAGCATGACATAAACTACATTGGTGCCATTTCAAAACGATAAGACAAGAACAAACATGTATCCAAAGTATGTGTATCATAATATATTATAAACTCATTTTTTTTTATTGATATAAGCACGTCTGAGCCAAACTTGTTTATACATGGTGTAGATAATATTTTTGGGTGAGTTTACACAAGATATATATGTTGCACCCTAATTTTTGACTGTAAGATCCCACCCCCGTGTGTGTTTTCTTACATTTTTATCTTTCCATTTTTATGTGCGACTATATTCATCAAAGGGAGTAGTACAATACACTACCATTTTTAAACTTATACAAATTATAATAGTTTTTGAAGTCATTCAACAATTATATCATCCTGTTACAACTTTGCCCAAATTAACTACAAGAATACGAATGATATCGCTACTGTTCACAACTTTTCCCAACAATTCAGAGTACAAATTCCCTATTATTTTCTTTTCTAAGCTCCTAAAGTGCAGCGTCGAACTACGAGTGCGCCAGAGCCACCGGAGAATATTACCTGCTACAATGAAACAAATATATCAATTAACATCTCCATATTTCATTCAAGACATCATGCTATTGATTATGATTTATTTATCAAAGACCCACATCAGTGGCCGATTTCGTTCACAAGCCTATCCTAATGCTTTTACAATACTTTCAAAAAAGAAGAGAGGAAAGACCATGCTACTACTAATACAACATGGACGGGCCTTATCCAAGATATTTGCATTATCCATGGAGAATCACAATGCAGTGCCACCAATTAACATAAATAAAGTAAAGAGCAGTCTTACAATTACCTACATTTGAACAAATGACAAAGATTCAGTAACTGTAATAGGTGATGGTAGACAATATCAGAAAACTTCTGCATACCCGCCACAAGGATGAGCAACTGACAAACTTACCTTCCAGAAAAGATGGCATTGATGAAGCTACTGAAACAACCCTTAGAATCTATGGCTGTGATCTCATCCAAGAAAGCGGCATTTTGCTAAGATTACCACAGGCAGTCATGGCCACTGGGCAGGTTCTATTTCATCGTTTCTATTGCAAGAAGTCATTTGCACGGTTTAATGCCAAGAAAGTTGCTGCAAGCTCAGTATGGCTGGCTTCAAAACTGGAGAAAAACGCGCAAGCAAAGTACGAATCTGTCGGCGTTCCCTCGCGTTAGATATGCTGCAGAAGAAGATATAAAAGCATGACTTTACCAATGGAATCTAACTCCTACAGAATTTGGCGTTTGTAATTACCGCACCGGTTAGACTGCTGCCAATATTTCCTGCAAACCGAAGCAAAGACGCAGTTAATTGACCTCCAACAATCACACTTAAATAGATCTCATTAACAACAATATTACAATTACCGATACTATCTTGTGTCATATTCCTCGTGTTCTTTAAATACGGCTGCACTTGTGTTCAAAAGAAGCACTCCAATTTATATACCTGCAAGCGTGATAATTAGAAGCGGATATTATAGTAGTAAAGATCAGACTAGTTACTGACATTTGTGTAATCAACATCACGTGTATGTTCAACAATTTCACATATCCTGTTTGGAGAAACATAAACATGTCCGTGGTATTCCTAATAAAAGTGATACCATCCAACAAAATTCTGTCCTTGTCATCAAAACCAGAGGAAAAGTAAACGCCCACCTGCATACACACGATTTGCAGAAGGCCACAAGCATCAGAAAATCACAGCAATATGCTCACAATATTCATATGGATTACGTACTGAAGAAAATACCAGCCTCGGTAAAAGATTCACTTCAAGATATAGAAATCCCCATAACTTTTGATTGTGCTGTTATCCAAGACTTCAATCTCCTACAGCATTTGAGTGGCCGGATATCGCACCTGCTGCGTCACAACAAAGACATCAACATTTAGACAAATAATAACAAGGCTAAATATCCACAATCATTTGTGGCTGGTGTTATGTCACTTTCTAGTACTTTCCCGCCTGTTGCTTCACTTCTTGATGCTCATCAATCAGTGTCCAATGATTTAGTGAAGTCTCACGGGGAGGAAGGTTTTTTTCTTCAACTGGAGTAGATAGTAGTGTTATACACTCTGGCATGATTCTTTCATCTCAAAATGCGCCATCACCTACTGAGTTTTCATCTTCTGATACTTGTATACCTGGAGTGGAGAATGTCAGCACAACTCTGCCTTGTGACATAGATGACGTTGGCAACTCAGAGATTGGAATCCCTGGCCTAGATCCTTTTGGTCGAAATGATGCATTGTCAGAACCTTTGGCCGCTCCCTCATTGATTTCCATTGGTATGCAAATAGAAGATGCCATTCAAGAGCAAGTTACGAGTTTGGATAATAGCTCACCTTTGAGCTTAGTTCCATCAATATCCGCAGATAAATCTGAGGAGCTGAGCCCAAAAGCAGTTGCTACAGATGTCAATAGTTTGGTGTCCTCAACAGCTACTTCAGTCGTGTTGCCTTCTCGCCTAGTCTTGCCAAAGATGATTGCCCCAGTTGTTGATCCTGCAGATGAACAGAAGGATTATTTGCAAATACCATGCTTTATGCGTATCATTGATGCATATAAGCAAATATTTGTAACTGGAGGCTCAAAAGTTTAATTCTCAATACTCGCTTATTTAGCAGGTTATTTGGTGAGGCTGAAGTAGAGCCCGACTTCTTTTCTTCCACAACTGCAGCTTCCGTATACAAATCATTCCTCCTAACAGTGGCAGAAGCATTTAGAGATTCTTTTCCACCTTCGGATAAATCATTAAGCTCTAGCATCCACAAAGTCATTAATGCCTGCACTTCAATAACAGGACTTGGTTTAGAATGTTCTATTTGGAGCAATCTTGATGTGGAGAAGAATTTAAGCTGTACTACCTTTTATATGCACATAAACATCAACGTTTTTTCTTCGCCATGGCCAACCATCGGAATTTAGCAACCTCCCATTTGAGAGTATCGAACCACTCTAATATGGTTGAGTTTCTGCTTCAACTTTTATTTATGCCATGAAGCCAAGAACTCTTTAAGATTCACTATCTGAAAATCATCCTCTCTTGGGCTATTCAGTTTCTAGATCAGTATTCCTGCAACAAATTTCATGACATCAGAAAGTGATGATTTTGAGAAGCACAAGCAGTATGCGAATCATTTCATACGAATGTTGGAGTTAGACGTTGCAGTTATGTCATTAATGAAGAACAATCAAGATCCTTAAACAATGCTTAATTTCTTTCCAAAACAATTCAAACAACTTCCACAAAACAATTGATAACGTATCGTTACGGAAATGGAAAAATCATTTACAACACAAATTAAGGCATTCAAAGTATTTCCAAGACAGGGAGGCAGACAAAATTGGTCGAGGATGGAAAGTCTTTATTTCTCTCTTCAATTCGTTTGAGAAATTAAACTATAAAGAGGGGGAAATCAAAACGAATTCAGGGGAAGAAAAAAATCTACAATCAGTCACAGACAACATTCCCACACAAAAAAACGATTCACGAAAACCCTAACAGATTAAAAGAAGAGACTTATCTCAAACTCCGCCGCGAATCTATCACCGAGAAATCGCTATCTCCATCGCCAGAGGCCATTTCGCGAACAGTCACTCCTCGCACGTCCGTTAGTGAATCGTCGTCGTTCGTCCTCCTCCAGATAGGTTGTATTTCTTCCTCTTCTTCGCAGTTTCGACTTTATCTTTCCTTGTAAATATTACGTTTGTTTTCTTTCAATGATGTTCGTAGGTTGCTATCACGAGATCGAAGGAGATGGTAGAAGATTTGAGGGGCAAATCACGAAAGGAGAGACGAGGGGAAGACGAAAGATGAAGAGAGAATCCATCAGAAAGAAAGAATCGCACGGTGAAGGAAGAGAAGAGAGAGCGATGACGAAGATGGAGATGGCGGAACCGATCGGAGAAGAAGAGGGGATTTGGGAACTAGGGTTTCTCTTTTCTTTTTTCTTTTTTTAAATTTTGTTTTGTAATTATAATCACATATAGCGCATCCACAGACACTATGATATACCCTCACGCACATACCCATGATCTCCAACGGATCACCATCCCACGCTCCACAACTGCAGCCCACGATGCACCTCTCATTACAGCGTACCACCCAATCACTCGCCAGCTTAATTAACCACTGTTAACACTTTTTAATCTGCATTTAGCTTAATTCACCCCTTTAACTTTTAATTAATTTAATTAATAATCTAATCATTAACCATAATATTAATTCATTTATTTTAACTAATAATTAGTCTTTATCAGCCTATTAAAACAAATTAGTAATTATTAAATTAACCTTTTCATCTTTTATAAAATGATTAGTAGCTTTAAAAATAATAATTAATATCTCTTTTATTTTAACCTATGATAATATCCTTTCTTAATTTGATTAAGTAATTTGTTAATTTACCTAATTTCAAGACTCATTTTATAATAATTTAATTATCGTATTAACCTTTTATAATTAACTTTTATTAAGAGACTTTCCTTTTTTTAAAAAGATTAACTCTATTTAGTAAAGCAAATAAAAAACTAAAAATTATTTTACAATTAACTTGTTTTTATGATAATTATCAAAACATTTTTTCTTTTCTCTTTAAATCTAAACTTTAATAATGAGCTTCTTTTTACATTATATTAATTAAAAATTAATCTCACATTTATTTTTTCCCTAATTTAAATTTCTCCATTAATCCTTTTGAAAATAATCAATTAAAGTCCTAAAATCAAATTCACCTAAAATTAAATTAACTTTTTAAAATCAACTCACTAAATTACTACAACTTCTCGCTTAAAATCAATCCGCGCAAAATAATCAAATACAACTTTTTTTTACTAAAATCAAATCAGACGATTAAAATCAAACAACAGCGTAAAAACACAACTTAATCGTGCAACATCACATTCACGACACATTCACTCTCACACACCTCAGCGCTTTCATGCGTATGTGTATGTTTTATTTCCGCAATTTATCTTACAGTAATTTACATTATCGTCATTTACATTTCCGCATCGCATCTGTCCAAAGGAAAAACCTACACATGAGTCAACACTTGTGTGTAGTGCACATCATTCGCATCATACTCCCTTCGATCCTTGATTCCATTCAAGTTGATCGCTTAAGGTAGATCCTACCCCATAGGAAGGATCCTTTTACAACATAGAAACAAACAATCAACAAAACAATACAAACAAATATTCAAACATTATAGAGAATAAGATGTCAATCATCTTAAGTGAGATAGAATCTCCACCCCACAACAATACAATCAAACATGTAGGGACTTTGCCTTAAGAGAGATAAAGGCGTACTCGTCAAACAATCCGAGTACTTAAGCCTTTTTCTTAAGACGATTTAAAGACTATTTTCCTACAACCTGTGGCGGTTACATCTCCCTTAAAATGAAGACTCGTCTCTTCTCCTAAACCCAATCAAAACAACTACCCTAAACCCGTAGGAACTTTGACCACAGTCAAAGGTCTCCTCTAACCCTTTAGGGGAACTACAAATACTCTGATTCCACACCCGTAAGGATATGTAGGCGTAAGATGCGATATCTTATCGAGTATACTTAGAAATAAACCACTAGGTCCTTTAACCATTAAGCAGATAAACATTTAGCAATAAACAAACATAAAACAAGAGGTTCCTGTAGAGTACTACAGAAACTTAGGATGCTAGTACCTTCCCTAAGTTTAACCAACCCCCGAACCTAAAACAATCTAACCTTGCATTTGCATTGCATTGTGGGAATTCGATCTTTATCCCTTCCTTTGGACAAATCAAAGATCGGTTGCAAATTGAATTAACGATTCAAACTAATCAATAGTTTGGTATCAAAATTTCACCGCGACAGAAATGGCGACTTCACTGGGGAAGCCTCAGCGGGTACCCCTACCTTGTTTATTTATTCGTTTATTGCTTTATATTTGCTTACTTGTCTATCTATTTATTTGTTATTTCTTTATTTATTTTGGGTTGATACCTTTGAGTGGTGAGACAAAGTTCTACACCCGAACTTGAGAGAAATTAAGATAGGATGGTGATATATTCGATGAGGCTTATAGGGAGTGGGTCCCGACTAAGTTGACTCGAGAATCCTGCTTAGTGGAGACCCTTTTGAAAATGGTTTGGTTGAACGAGTTTAGTCGTGAAAACTTTTAC